TCCCTTTCTTCTTCTGTGCTCAGAAGTAGGATCTTTCCGTTGAGATACAAGAGCCTGAGCGGGGATCAAAGAACTCTGTGGCACCTGGGGAAGAAGACAAGGCAGCGAAAGAGAAGCCAACAGTGGAGAATGCGGCAGCGTGTAAGCCAGCGGGAGAAGTAACGCAATGCCAGTGAGAGTGCAAGTGAATGTGGTGGAGCAGCAGTGGCCAGCAGCATCCAGCTGAGGCATGACAGAGCAGAGCCAGTTCACTTTCTTCTACCACGCTACAATGGGGAAGGACTATGGGAGCCGTGCTTGGTGCAGCTGCAGATGGTCACCCAGCTTTGCGGCTGAGCAGAGGCAGAGACCACAATCCAGCTTTGCTTCGCCCTCGAGGGAAAAGTACTCCAAGCACCTGACTTTGCAGCATTGACAGCAGCTCTCCAACGGCAGTCTGGGGAAGTACCAGTGGTACCATCTGTCAGGAAACTGCTCCCAGACAGGTGAAGTTCGGAAGGAGGAGTGAGTAAGCATGCTGGTGGCAGACTTGAGCACTATGGTCCAGCAGACTTACCCCACATTTGAGAAGCAAGTTCAGGAGGAGATGGTTTTGGGGTATTTCCTGAACACGCTATTGCTGGAAGAGCTGAGGCAGCACATGTGCCTCACTAAACCGACTAGTCTACAAGCTGCCATCACGGAAGCTGAAAAAGTAAAAGTCATCCTTAACGACGGGACCTCAAAGCAAGCAACACAGTAATACGCGGCAGAAGAGTCCAAGGAGGAGGTTGAGAGTAAGAACACCAGCAGCATGGAGAGCGTGTTGGTGGTGTGAAAAAAACGGGACATCTTGCTCAACAATGCCATGAACCTGAGCTTGTGAAAAACGAGAATGGGGCTGTCCGACCTTCACTGGGAGAGAAAGAGTAACCCTAAGCATTGTTGCTGCCACTGGTAAGAGCAGTCGCCACCATGGACTTTGGACAGAGTGCAGCCTCGGCAGCAAATGGCTCACTGCACTCACTGACACAGGCTCGACTATCTCTCTGCTGCAACCACAAAACAACGCTGACTTTAGCTTCGGGACTTTTTACAGTGTTTAAGAGTTTCTGCTTGCAGATTAAACTTATCAGGAAACCAGCTGAGTGCTTATAAATGCAAATAAGATTAATCCAAATTATTGCTGTTCATCTTAAATCTTTCTCTTTTCCTTTTTGTTAGCTACTAGCTAGGTGACATTGTTATCTGCGTTGCTCTGTGACCAGTAGTCTGTGCACCAGTTCCCAGGGTTTAAGGTTGGTGAATTCGCAGTTATACATTCTGAAACCTGGAACCCTGCCTATTGTGTAATGGTAGACATTCCACAGAAATATAATTAAAACTCAGAGACAGAACTGATCATCTTAGAAAGAATGGAACTTGTTTTGGTTGTTTAAAGGCCGGACACATGAGCACAGGCTGTAAGCATCGCTTGGTCTGCAGCACATGTAGCCAAAGGCACCCCACCATACTTCATATTGCACCAAAGGTTAGGACAACATAGAACAAGTCTACAAGTAGTGTCGTTGTCTCTCTGCAGACATGTTCTCATACTGGGGCCGGGAAAAGAGACGGCATACTATCCATTGTACCAGTCAAACTAAAGGCCAAGACTGGAAATAAAACCCATTCCTGGATTCCAGAAGTTTAGCCACCTATTGTACAGAGAATCTTACAAAGAAGTTAATTATAAACGGTGTAAGGACAAGTATTCTTCTTCGTTCCACGGGACAACAGAAATCAGCACTTTTGTCTTGAAAGGCCTAAAGGCGTGCGGCCTGAATGAGAGTTCATTTTGGGAGTTACACAAAATCTTTACTCAGAAGAGCACGCCTGTGGATAAAGGTAACATCCTTATTCAAGATGATTTGAGAAAACTGACTTATTTGAAAGACATTAAGATCCCCAGCCTTGAAGCCTCCCTGTAGTTGCTGCAAACAGGATATCTGTTGCCCAGCTGGAAGACCTGCTGATTGCGCAGCATAATCAAGATTTAAATGAAAGATTCTCAGATGAGGGTGTGGGAATGTCCAGAGAAGACTTACAATTCATAGAAGTAATGAGGTCCTCACCTGAAACGATTGAGAGGCATTATTGCACTGACTTACCCTTTAGGCTTGATGATGTGATCATGACAAATAATTGTGACATTGCTGTACAGCATGCTGTAGATCAAAAAGACAGGAACAAAGGGAACAAAGAGTATCAGATAGAGTATACATCGTGATTCACCAACCTCTTTGCTAAAGGATATGCTGAAGTGGTACCATACGAACAGGTGAATCGTGCATATGGCAAGGTGTGGTACATTCCACATCATGGAATGCATCACTTAAAGAAGAAAACTTTGAAGGTAGTGTTCGACTGTGGTGCAGTATCTAAAGGAACGTCACTGAATGAATAGCCAGCTGCTACAATGTCCTGATCTTACTAATAATCTCTTCAGTGTTCTTACATGGCACAGTGGAGTGACGTGGCACAGGAACTTGTAGAATACAGGATGAAGGTCCATCTCTTTGGAGCAGTGCCTTCACCAAGCTGTGCCAATGGAGTTCTAATCCGCCTGTCTGGTCCACATTACGGTGGTATATGGGAACGACTCATTCGCATCATCTAAAGGGTCATGTATTCTGTTCTCCAACAGCTGCCTCTGGATGATGAGTGCTTTCATACCGTCCTGTGTGAGGTCGAGGCCATTCTCAATGACCGCCCCTTTACCAAACTCTCTGATGATCCAGCTGATTTGGAGGCGCTTACCCCAAACACATTCTGTTGATGAAGTCAAAGCCACTTCTTCCCCCAGGTATATTTCAAGAACATGAACTGTATATTAGAAGAGAACGGAGACAAGTCCAGTACCTGTCAGACCTCTTCTGGAAAAGGTGGTATTTGCCACTACTGCAAGAAAGGCAGAAATGGATAAAACCACAAAGAGATTTTTGCATTGGGGATATAGTGGTGATTATGGACCCAACAGTCTCACATAGTTCCTGGTTGATGGGAAACGTAATCTAGATTTACCCTGACAAAAGGAGTCTGGTTTGCTCAGTTTGGCTGAGAACCAAGACTGGGCATTTGGATAGGCCTGTGTCTAAGATTTGCTTGTTAATGGAAGCAACAGAGAAAGGACTTTTGGTAAAGACCAGATCCCACCTGGGCTATGTGCTGGTAACCTCTGACCCAAAGAAGAAAGAAGACTCACAGAAGCATATACACTTCCTAATGCATTCTGGCTCCTTTAATTTGTTCAGTAGTGGCGTCTCTGGCACAGAAAGCCTGGTGGGGCACAATAAACTGTAGGGGCAGCAGCAGGCTCCTCAATGAAACTACACACAAACCTGATCCAAACACAAACACACTCCATCAATGAAATCACAAATTCACAAATTAATGTAACATGGTGCAGGAGTTAGTGGAAGTGGAGACAGGAATATGAGTGATATGATATGATTAGATCTCAAAAATCCTGTTTATACAGCATCGCATTACAAACCCACAATTATCTAGCAGTATACAGTCTTTGTGGTCTGCAACTACATTTCAAAAGCAACATATCAGGGCAGGGCATTAGGAATAACACGCCTTGTAATAATGTAGAATGACTCACCAGTGATGTTCACTGCTCGAAAAGAAAAGATGCACAACGATCTTTCATCTGGGCAAGCTTGTCAAACGCTTTTCTCTTAAAGTCCACCACTCAAATATATATTTGCCACACCTATATGCACCAATGGCACAATTTTGCACCTTATTTTTACGCTTGCGCTATGTTCCACGAAAACAGAACTCTGTCTTGCTATAAAAACTTCATTGTTTTATGGTGTGCAGGGGAGCCAACTACTTCCAGCTGGTGACTTGCTAGCTTTTTTGAATTTATGTCAGAAAATGTTTGCTGCAGCTTTAAGATGCATAAAAGTAAAACATATTTCTCATACTCTGCATTTTATATTGAAAACCTTGTCATATATCAGGACTAATGTGATCTCTGGCTTCAGAACATTCTATAGTAGCACAACTTCTTGTGTTCTAGCACTTTTTTGTGGTTGTGCTTGCTAAACAGAGGGTGTAGCCTCTGCATTATTGCTATTAGCCTGAACTATATTAAATTGATTTCTGTATTTCTGTAACTTGTGGGCTAGCTTAACTTGGTAAACCTTTTAACCATATTTTTTTTTAATATGCTGTTGAAGTATAACTTAATCTATTAAACATACAGCAAGAACTACCATAGTCAGAACTACCAGTCAGAATGCAATTTTCCTTCCACAAACATAAGCATGTTTATTTTCTCCAGTTTAAGCAGGCTCTTCTGTAGCATTAAGACATTACCTGCTGTGCTGAAATTATTTATCGGAGAAGATGCCATGCATATTGACTGAAGCTACTTTAACACTAAACACGGTATGTGCTGCACTCGCCACTCACATTAATGTAAGCTGCTAAGATGCTTCTCAGTCCAAGTCAGAATTAGGAGCTGTCCCTCTGTTAATACATGCAGCACCATTCTCCTATACACGTTCTATAAAAATCTTGGTTAATCAAATTTTAATCATCATGTATTTACGGAATATTCATTACAGTCTTATTATACATTTAAACTTGAGTTGTAATTAAAATGGAAGTAAAACCACAGCAGTCCAGCATTAAAAATCCTGCACACCACCACCAATAACCAATCACACTCACATTAGAGGCTAGTCAAAAAGTCAAATTTGCAAATAATGAATAAATAAATTATCATGACATATGAGGATAATTGTATACTCGTTTTGCTTTTATGGAAGTTCAAGCCAGAAAAATGCCTTACTTCTTGACAGCGTCCCTCTTCTGGTTGTCAATGCTGTCCCACCATTTGGAAAAGTAAGAGATCTCAGACCAGATCATTTTCCTCCGTTTGTCTTCATGTAACTTCACCACCATGTTGTTTAGGATATGCTGTGTCTGGTCTCGGTAGTAGTCATCAAACGTCTTCAGCCAGCCTGAATCAGAGCAGTAATTTGTGATGATTTCATTTGGTACTAGCACTTTTAGGGGGTCAATTTTAGTTAATCCAAAAATAGGAAAAGTAGTAGTTGCTACACCAGCCAGAAAAGCAAAACAAATCATTGTAATATTTAAACACTAGATGTTTTGCAACATAAACATAGATCAACTCCCTATCATATCATCAACCTAACATATCATCTGCAATATGTTCATTTCTCGTTAACTCAAAATCTAGGACACATGTATCTCCATGTTCATCACCGTGAGATGCTGTCTTTTTTGTTAGATGCACTGCTGTAGTTTCTGAATGAGCGTACACACATACACACACACACACACACACACACACACACACACACACACACACTTCACAACACAATTCCAATAGCTTATTTTTGACCTATCCCAGCATACCAATAAAAGTAAAAAATGACAGGACAATGTCTTGTTTTGGCCAACACAAATATTGATTTTGACAGATTTAAAACAGGTCTACACTATATGTACATGAAAGGCGTGACTATAGCACTTCATACATACAATCATTGATGTGCTGTTTGTAATGAGATAAAGCCATAACCGATCTAGCAAAGGCAGTAAAACTCCAAGCGAATGTTTGAGGTATTTGTTGCACCTCATTGTAATTGCAGCACATTTAAGGTGGAACAGAATATTCAAATGAGAAGATGGCTAATAAAAAGCTAACTTCAGCTTTATATGTCTGTAGGAGTTTACTAATTAAGAGCTTTGGAAGTTTTTGTAGGCATTTTTATTACTTTTTACATAATATCACGCACTGGAATATTCTGAACTATGGAGAAATGCATACAGATCCAGTCCATCAATCTAGCTAATATTATCCTCAGAGTGTTATCTGGAGACTGCATCTAAAGCGTCTACATATCTTTTAATCTTGTTCTGTGGTCATTCTGATCTATTTTGCTTGGTTTTTATCCAACTGCAGGGTTGGAGCTGCTGTGACTGAGATGAGACGAGCTACATCTGAGCAAAGACAGAGTGACAGCTCGCCTACCAACTTGGAGATATGGTCTTCTTGATGATGCAATCGAATGCTATGAATGCATCCAAAAATTTTAGGCACAAAAAAGAAATGAAGAACATTAATAATAGCAACAAATTATAAAAGTTCAAACTTCTGCTTCAGAAAAGTAAAATATAAAAAGACCACAGAAATAAAACTAAAAATGAAATATAAAAATATTAAAATAAAAAAGTACTTGTACTTAACTATAAAGAAAACACAAAAGCAAAGAAATTGCTTCTAAAATGAACAAATGATAGGCTTACTATTTTCCACTATATCTCTTTTTAAAACATTTCTCATCATGTAAGATTCTATTTATATCATAACAGTAAAGACACACTTGGTAGATGCTCTACAGCAGGGCCAGATGATCAAATTATGGGCCCCTCGGGACAAATGTTTGGTGGGCCCCTTTCTTTTTTGGTTGTCAAGTGATTTCGTTAATTGTATCACAGCAAGTTAAACAAGGCCTTTGCAGCACCACAATGGCGGCATACTAACCGCAGTGTTGGTACGTCACCACTGTGAGTGCACATTTTTTTCTTTTCCCCAATCGAGACAAAACAGTGGTAAGATTACTTACACACTAATAGGAACATAGGTCAACATAAACCCAACAAACTATGCAACACTTCTCTATAAAGCATGCATCCGTTCCTGACAAGCAAAACATTAACCCCAATGAAGACAACATAAATTACAACTGGACAGCTGAAATGTACATAAACACAGAAAAAAGCAGCAAACTTAAAAACCTAAACTGTCAAACAGTCCAGCTAAGGCATACTGCCAAGGAGGGCAGGGAGATTATTTTTCTTCACATTTATATCTTACCTTTGATGACACAGATCACTGCCGACAAGGACAACTAAACATTTTAATTCGGGTGGCTGACATTTTATATTTGGCTTACGAAATGGCCATTTTCTACTCTGTCAAAGTTTCAGATCTCACATTTATAGATACCTCAGGCACATTCACAGGGACACTGACTCAAAGCTAAAAACCTGAAAGCTTGAGCAAGATAATGAAGGATAGTGTAACAGTTACTAAGCAGCGCTTGGAGCATCAGGATTATGATAACACAAAATTACACTGTGTCCTAACAAGGGAGCATTCAAATGTAGTATCACATTACGTTTCATCCGCACATTTATTATCAGTAGTCTAAAAAACATAAAATAGTACTATACTGCTGCAGCTTGGTTACGCTAACTTGTAGCTATTTTCTTAGTTAACCTATCTAGCTAACACAAAACAAATGGTATTTACCTCTAACTTCCAGCACTCTGGGCATTTCTCTCCAAATTGTTTAGTGAAGGGGTCACAGAGATCCATCACCACCGCCAGTCAAAACAGCAGGTAGATAACATTTTTCAAGACTTACAGGATCAACCCACTGGACTGTAAATAAGCCCAGTGATAAGCTTAATATTAAAATTATTACCAAAGTTGGCTTTACAAAATTATACACGATGAAAAACATTTTTAAGAAATATGTATATATATACGGGGGCAGCACGGTGGCGCAGTGGGTAGCACTGTTGCCTCACAGCAAGAACGGCCTGGGTTCGATTCCCGGCTGGGTGACCAGGGTCCTTTCTGTGTGGAGTTTGCCTGTTCTCCCTGTGTCTGCGTGGGTTTCCTCCGGGTACTCCGGTTTCCTCCCACAGTCCAAAAACATGCAGTCAGGCTGATTGGACGTGCTAAAATTACCCCTAGGTGTGAGTGTGTGTGTGATTGTGTATGTCTGTCTGTCTGCCCTGTGATGGACTGGCGACCTGTCCAGGGTGTATCCTGCCTTCCGCCCAATGACAGCTGGGATAGGCTCCAGCACCCCACCGCGACCCAGAAGGATAAGCGGTTTAGATGATGCATGTATGTATGTATGTATATGATCTTAGGAAGATAAGCCCAGTCCTCAGGGATCCCCATTTTCTGTCTGATTAAGATTAACATTGTCACTAGGCGACCCACTTTACACAGGAACTAAAAACCTTTCAAATGTTTATTTCACAAACACCTCTGAAGTAAAACACAGAGAAAACAATTAACATTTGTTTCACAAACACACACACACACAATGATGTCAATGACAAAACTATGATTTGGGAGCTTAGTAGTCAAGAGCTGTAGCTCTTAAGTTAATTGAAAAAGCAAGTCCTATGGGCATTTTATGTAAATTACCCTAAAATAATTCACTTGGGAAAGGATTTTTACATTTCTGCTTGATTTCCAAATTCAGTATACAAGCAAAGTACCAGTTTAATTAGCTAGCTCCTTAGCTAGGCTAAAAATGTGATCTGTAAAAGCATTTGCAGTGTACATACTTGATCTTTTCAACATCATAGAAAGCTTGCTGTATTACCTATGCAACACACTGTAGCAGGATGCTACAGCTCAGTCTGTATTAAGCTCCCCCCTGACATCTGAACATTTTAGAAGGGATGTGGCTAAAACTGAAAACTTGATGGAGTATTTTAAACTTTGTGTCATCATTGGCAACAATTTACTTTGTCTTTTACTAACAATACAGTTAACACAACCTAACATAATCTGACCTAAAGGTTTAAAGGATCCATTGAAAAAAACAGTGACAGTGCAGTTAACATCAAAATACTAGGTATATATTAGCCTTATTGGCCCCTTGGAAAAACGTAGAAAAGATTTGTTAGCAGCCATACAACGTATTTTGAACGTAAGCAGGGTTTAAGGGGTAAACTGAAAATCTAATTAAAGTAAGTGGATGCTGTGACCATTGCAAGGGCACTTTGTTGGGTTTTCTCCCTTGGAAGGGCATCTAAGAGGGCACTTCATGAGTTATTTTTTTTTTCCCCCCCATAAAGGCACCTATAGGGAATTTCTCTCATTTTGAGGGCGTTTATATAGCACCACATCACATTTTTTCCATTAGAGGGGCATCCATTAAGAAACTTCCCCACATGTTCACGCGTATAGGGACACCCTTTACAGCACTGCATCACATTTTATCCACTGGAGGAGCACTTTTCACATGTAGGAGTATCCTACACCGATCAGGCATAACATTATGACCACCTCCTGTTTCTACGCTCATTGTCCATTTTATCAGCTCCATTTACTATATAGGTGCACTTTGTAGTTCTACAATTACAGACTACAGTTCATCTGTTTCACTGCATACTTTGTTAGTCCCCTTTTACCCTGCTGTTCAGTGCTCAGGACCCCCATGGACCCTCACAGGTACTATTTGGGTGGTGGATCATTCTCAGCACTGCAGTAACACTGATGTGGTGGTGGTGTGTTAGTGTGTGTTGCACTGGTCTGAGTGGATCAGACACAGCAGTGCTGCTGGAGTTTTTAAACACCTCAGTGTCACTGCTGGACTGAGAATAGTCCATCAACCAAAAATATCCTGCCAACAGAGTCCTGTGACCACTGATGAAGGACTAGAGGATGACCAACACATACTGTGCAGCAGCAGATGTCTCTGACTTTACATCTACAAGGTGGACTGACAAGGTAGGAGTGTCTAATAGAGTGGACAGTGCACTCGCACTAGCACAATACACATGAACACACCACCACCACGTCAGTGTTACTGCAGTGCTGAGAATGATCCACCATCCAAATGGTACCTGCTCTGTGAGGGTCCATGGGGGTCCTGACCACTGAAGAACAGGGTAAAAGGGGGCTAACAAAGTATGCAGAGAAACAGATGGACTACAGTCTGTAATTGTAGAACTACAAAGTGCACCTATATCGTAAGTGGAGCCGATAAAATGGACAAAGAGCGTAGAAACAAGGAAGTGGTCATAATGTTATGCCTGATCGGTGTATATCACACTGCATCCCATTTTCTCTAAGGGCATGTCATGATAATTTTATACCTTAAAACTAACTTCAAATAGGGCACACTGAGCAATACTGCATACAGGTAAATGAACAAAAAGCTCATGTTCTAGAGGG